TCCAGAGGACCTCACATCTGGCAGCAACTTGCAAAACATTGCAGAACATTCTGGAAAAAAAATGAAAGCCTGTCAAAGCTTCATGTTCTGCTAGGATGGGGCTTAGCACAACTCTTCTGTAAGAGACTGAGTTATGTTTTCTTCGAGCAAGTAATTGCCTTCATGTCTCTCAATATGAACCCCTGCAAATGATGTTCCTCCCCTGGATCCAGAGGCAGCTCACATTTAAATCCCAATAAGCTCCTCATATTGAAGAAATGTGTCAGATTTCACGTCCTGCATGGCAGCTGCAGCTCTCTCAATCATTGTTATTAAAGAATATTTGCACACATTGCCATCTCTGTCAGTTTAGACAATATTTTCTTGAAATTTTGCAAAACAATTTCCCTGCCTGGGTCTCTGCACACGCAGGAAAGGCTCTGCTGATGGAGCTCAGCAAGTGGCACTTTGGGCCTGCCTGTTTCTCCTTGGTAAATCAGCCTGGGCAGGAGTTTCAGAGAAAATGAAAGGTTTTGTTTTGAGAAAGTTCATTGCTCCTGGAGCCCTGCTCTCCTTTATTTCAGACAAACAGACGCTCCCTGCTTTGCTGGGATCGATGAGTGAGGGGATATATTGGGAAGTGGTGTGGGTTTGAAGTGGGATTTGCTTTGATATTTCTGTGCAAATCCATGTGATGGCTCACTGACTCATACAGCTGAAAATAGGTGGTGATATCAAGCCCAGAATTCTTTACAGATTTTTTCCCCCCTTTTTCTTGCTTAGCTAGCTGCTCTTCCAAAAAATTCAGGTCATTATTCAAATCTATGCTTAGATTAAAACTCCAGATAACATCACTCTTACTCATTGATGAATCACACTGGAGCAAATTTTGGTCCTACTGAACTCACTCTGTGTTGCCTTAGTCATAAGTTTGTTTGGCAAATCACATGTCATGCTCGAATTAAGCACTTGCTTAAATAAGATACTTTTAAAATACATTCAGGAAAGTTTGCCCATAAGATTTATATAGATAGGATTTATATTGCAAACTTGTCAAAGCAAAACTAGAGAATGAAAAATTCTGTTAATTCTGAGTTAAAACATGAATTTATGTTGTCGGCAACAGATCTAAAGGGATTGTTAGATATACACGAAATGAAACTTGTTTTCTAAAGTCTATTTATAAATTAATTTTAAATATTGGCTTTTGGGAGGCTTTGGAGTAGCAAACTCCCCCTGGATGTAGTGATGCCACCGCCACCCACAGGGCTCAGTGTCACCTCAGCCTCTGCTCTGCACTGCTGACACCAGCTTGACCTTTCCCAAAGATTTTTTTACATTGCATGATCCCTATGCCAATATCGAATTTGCACTGAATCTTTTAAACTGACACCATATGGCCTTTTACATTAACAGGGCCATTTTTCCCTGAATGAGGAGAAGAGGAATTTACTGAAATTATAATTTAAAATCTAAACACCAAATAGACAACATAAATAAAACACTTTCCAAAAATGGGCAGAAAAACACTTTCCAAAAAAAGGGCAGAAAATGTGAAGTTATATTTAAAGGAAGAGTAGGAACTGAGGTGGGGATGGCTATAATAAATTATAGATTATCAATCTCATGGCAGATGGAAACAGGGTTTGGATGCATCCATAGCTCCAGCTCCTTCCTGCCTCATGTGAAATGAGCCCTGGAAGCACTGACACATTACAGGTATGGCTAAAAGAGGGGAAAAAAGGAATTTAATGTATTCCAAGCATGCTCTGAATGATGGTGTGTNGGAAAGGAAAGGAAAGGAAAGGAAAGGGAAAAGGAAAGGGAAAAGGAAAGGGAAAAGGAAAGGGAAAAGGAAAGGGAAAGGGAAAAGGAAAAGGAAAAGGAAAAAGGAAAAAGGAAAAGGAAAAGGAAAAGGATGGGGTTTGTGCTCCCTTCCTTCAGCCCCACCAGTTCCCACTGACAGGAAATTTGGGTTGTCCCTTCCTCCCAGACATCAGGGGAGGCTCCCTGGGTGCAGCTTTTCAGCTGATCTGAATGAAGAAATTCAGTGTTTTCCCAAATGTGGTTAATGACGGGTTACAGAGCTGTAACTGATTACATGGCCTTTGGTTATCAGGTCCAGGGAGTGGTTCATGGTCTTTTTTAATGATCCTTAAAAGATGGAATGAGACTTCTTAAACATTTCCCTCAATTAGAGACCTCCTAATTTCTAACTCTTAATTCTCAAAGATATTTATTTCTACTTCTTTCTTCAATAAAACCAAGCCCTGGTAAGGCACAGCTGATCAGAAGTTCATGTTCCCTTCTACTTGTTTCTGGACCCAAAGAAAGAGCAAAGTGGCTCAAAGTTTCTGCTTCTGAGAAAAAGGAAAGTTAAAGAGCAAGGTTGTTTCAATCAGCTGCTGGTGGTGCTGCAGAAGGGCATCGAGACCCCTCAAATCAGGTAAATAACCAGGAGCTGAAAGCTTGCTTGGCTCAGAAATTGCTGCTTTTAACTCCAGTTGCACGATCTGCTTTTTGTTGGAAATCTGAGAGCACTCTTCCTCCAGCCCTGCAGACAATTGCACCTATTCAACTTCGGGGAGAGTTCAGAAACACGGGGGTGTTTGGAAGCTTTTCTGGAGCATCTCCTCAGCAGAGTGTGAGAAGCACAGTCTGATCTCCAGCAAACCCAGCTAAATTTACCCTGCTCCCACCCACCCTGGCGAGCTCTCTTGCCACACTTCCCTGCTCACACGTCTGGGTCAGGGCTCCAATGCTCCGTGAAAATTGGATTGCCGTTCCACAAAGCCTTCCAAAGACATTTGGAAATTTATTTCTCCCCTCAATCTCACTGCTCTGCTTTTCCCAATTGCTCCACAGCTCTGGCTCCCGGTGCCAGGAGGAAACCTTGTTTGTTTTCTGCATCACTGAGGCCAAAATGTTTTGCTTCAACCCACAAATTCCAGCCCCAAAATAGTGCTGCAAAGGCTCTGCCTGTGGGGAAGCCTCAGCAGAGCATTGAATAATCCTTGGAAGATTTTTAGCTCCATCAGAGCATATTTGAGTTTTTCCTCCTGTTGTTCTGATTGGGATGTCACCCCACAGCAGCAATTGTCTGCTGGTTTCCAACCTCAGCTTTGGTTTTCACCTGCTCTGGGGGCTGTTCAGCCTCTCCCTCTGGATGGGTGATCAGTGCTGCCTCTCCAACCAGCAACCTTCACTCTATTGGAGCAGGCCAGGCATNGGGTAAGTTGGGGGAGCTGAGGAGGCTCCTGCTCCCGGCAGCCAGGATGGATCTCACCCCAGGCATCCCCATCCCACCCCTCCGAGCCAGCAGCTGCACCCCCAGGGCCAGCATTGCCCCCAAACACCCAGAGCTCCAAGCAGGAGGTTCCAGCAATCCAAACATCAAACATTCCTTCAGTTCAGTACTCACCGTTCACACCGGGATACAACTTGGAAGCTAAAAACCAAAAAATTCCTACAAAAAGAAATTGTTCTATCCCCAGGTCACGATCCTGGGAGCTGCAGGGACTTCCAAGCCCACAGACACCCCACCAGGGCTCCTGCCCTATTCCTGGTGTCTGGATATCCTCGTGCTCCCAAGGATGAAGAGCAATTCCCTGCTCTTGTGTGTCCTTAAACGCTGCTCAGCCTCAGGCTGGGCTGGTGGTGGTGCCATAAATGCCTGGACAGCTCCCAAAATTGCCACCAGCCTGGTGTGATCCTGCCTTACAGCCTCTCCTTCAGCCTGGAGTGCTGACACTTTGTGTTGTGGAAAGCTCTGGGAGCTCAGAGCCCTCATTTCCCTCTGCCAGGTCTTGGCTGTGAACAGTTTAAAGCAATATTTTGTTGTTCTGTTAAAAAAAAATATAATTAAAAAATCCAAGATTTGATTTGGAATCCCCCATGTGAAAGAAGATCCTGGAGAGATTCCATCTCCCACGTTTTTGCCTGCTGTGAGATAAGGGCTGGTTTGTAATTGAGTGTCATCCCAAAGGGAGATAAGGGGTAGGATTTGGAACTGGAAAAAAATTATATTTAGAGCAGCACTGTCTGGAAATCCCTGCTTTGGGAAAGATCTGGGAAGTGGGAAGGGTTGTGACTGACACTGGATGGAGCAGGGAAGGAAGAGCAGGAGCATCCTCAGGAACTGCTGGGAGAAATCCCAGGGGAGCGCTGGCACAGGGTGAGGAGTCCCAAATTCCAGGCAGGAGCTGATCCCAGTGGGTGCTGCTGGGCCGGGCTGTGGGATGGTGACCAGGTACAAATGGGATGGACAGCAAAGGCTGTTCCAGCCACACCACACCCATGGTGCAGGTAAGTCCTTCACTGATAATTCCCTAAATATCTGAGGAATCAGTTTTGGGGTCACAAAACCACAGAATTGCTGGTTTCTGCTTCCCTTGGAGCCCCAGCAGGTGGCAGGGGGGCTGCAGGCTCTGTGCTGAGAGGAGCCAGCTCTGCAGGCACCAAACAGGGCTAGAACAGAAATTCTCCTCAGGCCACTGCAGCAGCTTCTGTCGCATCAAACCACAATCATCTGAGGCCTGCTTGAAGGAGCAGCAATTCTGAACTCCCAGCAGAAACACAGCTCATTTCCACTTCCAGGAAAATAAGTTCTTGCTTCTCTCAATGATTTTTCTCTATAGAGAGAAAAAGTCATAAATATAACAACGTTTTTGGGGTTATCATTATCTGCTCTTAGTCATGGGATTGAGCTCTCTNTTTCAGTCCCTGATTTTGGGGTTTCAGTCCTTGATTTGGGGATTTCAGTCCCCAGTTAGGGGGTTCCAGTCCCCGATTTTGGGGTTTCAATCCCCGATTAGGGGTTGTTCCCCAGCCCCTGCAGCTGCTGCCTCTCTCCAGCGTTTGGGATGCCGTTATGGAATCGCCTTTTCCTCTCTCAGAGCTGTTGATGTCCCTTTATTCTGTGTCACTCTGAAATGCCCAGGGCTGGTTCCTGCCATTCCCTCCCGCACCCCTGGCTCCTCTGGCCGCTTCCTTTGCTGATTTGTGCATGTCCTCATTTCCAGGTCCACCAAATCCCGCAGGGAGACAGACAAGTGAAGCCTCCAAAGCTCAAGAGGAGGAAGATCTCTAGATAACATTGAATGTCTTTGTTACTGGTCCAGTCCTTATCGCAGTGAGCGTGCACATGAGTGTGTCTGTAGGTATTGATCCCAGCTGGCTCTGTCAGTGTTTCTGGGAGCTCGCTGCCACGGCAGGGCACCACGAGGAGCAGTGGTTCCACATTTGGGGTGCTCAGGAGGGATAGAGGTTGCTGGATAAGCCAATCAGAAATCGTGAAAGGTTGCAGTAACAATGTCAGATGATTACTGAAATTTTTTTTTTTTTTTTCTATAATACTAAAAAAAAAAATTGTGATTATAAGAAATAGTCCAAATGTTTCTGAGAAATTTTCATTGTGTATATAGATAATACAGAATTTCATGGTGATATCTGAACTGTAAATATTGTACAATATTGTCATGTACAAGCGTACCTAATGCACACTTTATCTTTTATTGTACAAAAAATAGTGTACAAAATTCTTTGGTTTCTATTGAGTACACATACAAGAGACTACCAGTGTAAAGTGATAAATAAAAATACAGCCTAAATGCTTTTATATGATAATGTAAAAGATGCTGTTTTTGTATTTAACAGCAGAGAGAAGGCATGATTATGTAATACCTTAATTATGACATCCACTTCACGCCACTGAGTGTTCATTGCTCTGTCTGTTTGGAACGAACCTTGCCTGGAAGTGCTGGACTCCAGCTGAGGCCTTTAGGAGAGCGCAGCCTCGCAGATTCCCAGCGGGATGTGGGATCCCAGCTCTGATTTAACAATTCCAAGGCTGCAACCCCTCGGTTGCGTTTTTATTTACTTAGCTTTGAACGTAGAACGCTGTAGATTTGATGAAAAAATCACAAAAAAAAAAAAAAAGAGTAGAGGGACTATTTTAGTCAGCCATTTCTGTAGGAGAAGTTTCAGAGCCACCTGAGGAACTAAAGAGTCGATCCCCCCTAACGTTGAGCCCCCCCAACCACCCCCTAGATTAATTAGCTTTGATTATCTAACGTCATTAACACGGTGTTTCCTCGGAAGGGGCAGAGGCCCTGCTTTCAGCAGTGATCAGGATTGATTGCTGGTGGTTACCTTCGGTTTGGCAGCAGGATGAAAGGTGGGAAAAGCAATCCCAGGATCCATCTCGCAGTATTAAAGCAGGAGAAAAGTTAAGGGTGGCTTACAAAACTATTAGCAGCAGTAATTTTTATCAGTATTATGTAACATATCAGATTTATTTTATTTAAAAAGAATTATTTATACCATTAACAGATTCTTATATATATTAATGTGGCTGAAATGCGCAGGTTAAATCTATTAACCAAATTATTTATGTTATATTAAGTGAGAAATGTGAAACATATGTAGAAAAAAAAAAATTAATACACTACAGATTTAAAAGTCTAAAGCTATGAGCCATTATAAAAATTAACGAACGGAAGTGTAGCACAACATTCTTTCCATTTGATTTCATTTTTCTTTTTCACACGGCCGGTGCCGCCGGTGCCGAGGCTTCCCCAGAGAATCGCAGCCACATT